GTGGTGTTATTTGAGAAACTTTTGCTCTTGCCTTCACCCTCACCAGTAAACTCGCCCACAGGTAATTTTGTCGCAAAGCTCTCCATATGCGGGGGACCACTATCCTGGGTCACCTCAAGATTTGTAGGCAATTTTCTTTTAAGTGCTATATCAAACAGTTGGCCTTATTTCGGATGTATGGAGATTTTCATCATCTGGTTCTATTCCTTTAATCTCTGCTTGCCTTGCAGGATTCTCAGTGCTTTTGCAGCTGCATGTGGAGCCTTCCCAATTCTAGTCCCTTCAGCTTTCCAGTGCTGTCATAACACATCTACAGGTGCTGACCGTGCTAACTACAATTCATTCCCCTCTATGGGTTTCAGCGTCTCCATTTCGTCCTCCGGACAGAACGCTTTCTCCTGGGCCTTTTCATCACACCAGCCCCTCTGATTTTCATGAGCACCCCCTAAAAGCTTTGCTCTGCTCTTTCTAGGGTCTTTTGCAGATCAATGTGTTGGAAAGGGGTTGAGATCACTGGCAATGGGCATAGCTTAGCCATTGTCTGGTCATTTCCAGTACCTCATTTTCGACAAGTATCACAGCTTCGACAATATTGTTTCACTTGCTTCCTCATCCTAGGCCAATAAAAGTTCTGTGCCACTCTTTGCTTGGTGCAAGAGATGCCCACGTGTGCCCAAATTACATTTCTGTGTGCCTTTTCTATAATCTTTTCTCTGTACTTAACAGGGACAATTAGCTTTTTGTGGGATCCTTCTCCCCCATGAGGTGCCTATTAAAATCTATCTATATAATAAATCTTTTTCTACACAATATCTCTCTGGGTGTTCAGGGGTCAGTGGAATGGGATTCTCATTAACTTTTCCAAAGCAATCACTCAAGGTAACATCTTGCTTCTGCTCCTTAACAAAGGAGGAACTACTAGGATTTTTCATTAGTACTAAATCAGCTGTCTCCCTCATCTCAGTATGTTCATCTAAAGTGGGTTTTTCAACAAGGTTTTCTGTGCTTTCCTCAGAGGCTTCAGTCTGCCTCCCCTGAGAGCGAGTTACTATTAAAACACTCTGCACATGCTTGGCTAGATCTAAACCAATCAGACAAGGAACTGGGATTTGGTCTGATACTGCCACTTTCCATATACAGTGGGGTCTTGACTTAAGAATGGCTCGAGTTAAGAACATTTTGACTTAAGAACCACTCTCATAAGAAAATATTGACTTGACTTACATACTTAGATTTGAGTTAAGAACTGAAAAAAAACCACGTGGGAGGCAGGGAAAGTGCAAAATGTGAACTTTCAGTTAACTGTTGGCCAGTGAAAAGGGTGCCTGTCTGCTTCCTCACTCCTCCCAGCGTTTAGAGAATGGATTGGGAGACAGTCTTCGGACTGCCTGGTACTGTACTGCCTGGACTGTATTTTCCCTGCCTTCCCTGAACCTTTCTTGACCTAAGAAAAAAAGAAACAAAATATCCCCCTCTAGTGGTCGAAGGCAGAATAGCAGCTTCCCATTAGTTTCTATGGACGGAAAAGAGCAGATACGGATCAAATGGTTTTCAATGCATTCCTATGGGAAATGCAGATTTGACCTAAGAACTTT